ATAGAAATATTAAGTTCTTTTCTCCTATCACCTTTTGCCTCTGATCCATGGATGTCAGATGTTCTATAGAAATAAGTGAGACCTTTTCTCAGTTGTCTACCCCTTTCTGGGGCTATTTCACCTGTTGCAGGAACTTTCCTATGTGGAAAGTACTAGCATGTAAGAAAATCCAGACATAACACCTAAAACATGTTTGCTCATCATGTGCCCATGTCTGAGCATCTAACTGCATTCATATGTCGAAATGTACATATGTGTGTGACCCACACTAAGTTTGAAATAAATAATTTTCCTTTTTTTCCTTAGGCAATTGTTTTTATGTGTAGGAAAAATACATCTGAACTGCATTCAGGATGAAAAAGATTATCCAGCAAAATAGGAATTCAGTTCATTCAGTAGCTTCTTTATAAGTGAACCAGGAGAGGAAGAGAAGAAGCAGGTGGTTATGCATTGTCCCTTGAGACGGGTGCGTCTTGAAGAGTGCAGATCTTGTACTTCTCCTGCATGCCATGTGCTTATTCTTTCCAATGTAGACTTTCCTGGTATTCAGGTTTGCAAAGGAAGTTGTTGCTGTTTAGGGTGTATCATAGGGAGATAATTGCAGAGTCTCATCTGTCTGGGCAGGCACCGTATCATTGCTATGCTCTGTACCAGAGCTTTCTCTATTGTAAGGAAATCTGAAGGGCTGCCTAAAGCATCTAAGAAGAGTGAAGAAGCACCATTGTGCACATCTAAAAAAGTCGCACGCATACATGCTGTTTGTGGGAAGGGCGTGCTTCTTTCCTCATTTTCTTCACAATATTGGGGGTGGGTATGTACTGCACAGGCAGCTATGCTTAGCATGAATGCCCTGAGGCCCTGAGCACTGTGTGGGACATGGAGTCAGCTGCACATCATAACACTTTCCTTCCCAGGCCTGTAAGTTATGAGCTGGGTTTGGTAAGTGGAGCCTGGGGCGACAAGAGGTAGTAGCAACAGCAGTGGGCAGAGAGGCAGCACCAGCAGCTGCTCAGTTTCAGTAAAAGAGAACTTAGCCCAGAGTTTTTGCTAGAGACAGGAGACCCCTTAGCAAACTTGCCAAATGCTAATAATGTCAATATCCATCCCCTACCCCACTCTGCTGCAGGACACCTGTGCTTAAACAATTTTAGTACAAGCAGAAATTTAGCAGATGAAAAGCCTAGAATGCAAACATTTAACATTTTAGAAATTACCTGCTGATATTAGATGCCCTTGGTTGGAATGTGTACAATAATTGATTAGTACACCCAATGAGAAAATACTGCTCATCTGTTTATTTCAACTTTTTCTGTACAGATTCAGCATTGTGTATGTATATAATATTCACAGGGTGTGAACTGGGTTTGCGCAGATGTAGTAACAGGAACAACAAAGAGTCTAGTGGCAGTTTAAAGATGAACCCGTTTATTCTAGCATAAGCTGTCATAGATGTTGTCCACTTGGTCTGTGTGTGGATAGTGGGGGCAGAGGTGGAGAAGGAGGTGTAAACTCTGCATCAGAAGGAAATGAAATGCAAAAAAGTACAGAAAAAATGATCTCAGGTGCTGCTACTCACAACGCTCTAAGCGATACCACAGGCATCCTTGCAACAGTGAACTGACTAAGGTACGTGGTGTGATTTTTTAAAAGTTTGCCCTAATTAGTGCAAGGAGGTTCTTGAAGGCCTTTGGCCAGGAACCCCTTAATACCTCCCTTCTCACCTCCATTGTCACCTGCTGTTATTGCTCCTTGTCTTCCCCGCCATCATTGCACGGCTTGCTTGGTGACGTGGCAAGACGCTGTCAATGAGTAAAGAATTTGCCGCGTTTGCTGCTGCTTCCCGCAACTACCACTTTTTGGGCTAGAATGAGAGGCAGGGAACAAGCAGGTGCAGGGGAGGAGCAGAGCCAGGAAGGCCTTGCCTGCAGGTCTCTGCTAGGCCATAGACACCCTGCAGGCACTCAGCCATGCTGACACTTGACGTCCTTATTCTCGGGAGATACTGTTTCTCACTGTGGCAATTATATCTGTTTTATTATAATTGGCGGGTGGCACTGTTAAGGTTATCAGTACTGTCTGTACTTTTTGGCATTTAAATCCCCTTTGACAACACAGTTTCAGGCTTCACTCAAATCCCGACATGATATAGATCTGTCAGTCTGAGATTTAACACTTCCACATCTGATGAAGTGGAAAATAGAAGCCCTGATCTGACAGAGTGGGTTGTGAGGAGTGGCAATACTATAAAAACATGGTATCTGACACAGCAAGTCAGAAGGGGTCTCCTGGGCCATCTAGTCGGACCCCTGGCTTCAGCCAGCTCCGCTCACGACATGCCCACCATGTGCATGTATCTGTACCTCTGTTGTGCTACAGAGGTTTCCTCTCCCAATTCTTGGTGCTTTTTTACCTTTCCTGGAATGGCACATTATGGAAGCTACTCTTATATATCCTCTTGCTTGCAATACAAGAGACATTTTTTTCAACCACCTTTATCACTGTATGCTCACTTGCTTGACAAGCAGAGTGCCAATGACCAAGTAGGTAGTGGCATTTGTGGCTTCTCCTTCCCACTCACATTTCTCTTTAGACAGTATTCATAACTGATTTCTTCCCATTTCCCTTCTACGATCTTTCTTAATTGGAAAACCAATATGATTTGAGTTCTCCATACTTTTACTTGAACCCTGGGCAGAGCAATTCTATCATACCTAGACAATGTCTAGATGGCCATAGGATTGTCTCGATTCTCAGCTCTGAATGTGGAAAGATTACAGAAGGGATCTTGGAGAACAAGTTTAATAGGCAGCCGTCTTTCCTTTCCATCTTGGCTGGCTACCTGGTTTGACTAGCAGAAGAAACACAGAAATTGCGTGCTCCTCACACTCCATGCAGGGTAGCCAATACATTCTCTGAGTTCACAGGGTTGTGGGCATCCCAGAAGATTGCACCCTAAGACTGTAATCTTGTAGTTGCTCACCTAGGAAGATTTCTGAATAGACTTTATTTAAGTGCACAATCCTAATGCAAGTTTGGACAGAACAAAACCTACAGCTTCCAGCATGCCTCAGGCATAGCTGTATAAATTTGCATAAGATTGCCTCTTCAGCCATTTATATCCCACTCTTGAGTCAAAAGACTCTAAAAAAAGCTTATAACAAACAACTATCTGTCCCTGCCTTTAGGCTCACAATCTAAAAATTCAGATATAAAGGGTCAGGATTGCCCAGACTGGATGAGAACACAGCAACTGAACTGAGGAATGCACCTAATCTACTGTTCATCTGGGCTGGTCCATTCCTCTTTTCTTTCTGCATTTTCTCTTCTAAACTAAAGCCTTATCTGCTGCTTCTCCCATCCCTTCAAGGCAAGATACTTTCTGAGATGTCTTCTGGTGGGCAGGATTGTATCCTTGGTAAGGCTTCACTCCTGTGCACATTTAGGATAAGCCCCATTGAACAGGGACACAAGTTAATCATCCTTAATGTGCTTTGTAGTGCGCTTCTATCCAGCTGTACTCATAAATGGAGACCACTGGATTAAGTCTGAATCATTCCCAAGTAAATATTATAGGATTACAAGTTTTGGTTACAGATATCCTACAGGCAGCTGATTGATGACTGGGTGAACAAAATGTTGGACTAGATATACCCTTGATCAGCATGGCACTCTTCTTGGACTTTAATCATAGTGCAACAAAGCTGGAGGGCACCCAGTAGGGGAATTAATGGACATTCAGTGCCATGCACACTTATCTTCAAATAAGCTCCATTGAACACACTGGGATTCAGTGGACATGTATAGGGTTACAATGTAAAGCATAAGAAAGCAGATTTTTCTCACTTTGGGGGTCTTTGAAACTGCTCTTTCAAGGTATGCTTAGTCTTAGTGGGGTTGTAAATTGGAGTTCCAGTGACTGAATCTTTTAAATCTTGTCCTAGTTCAGGGACAGTCTATTTTGCCCTAGAATTTTCCTCTAGAGAATCACTGTTGGACAACATTCCCCTTTCAGCCATGAAACTCCAGGTGAGTCACAGCCTCTCAACCTAAACTACCTCATAGGGTTGTTGTTGTTGTTGTTGTGAGGATGAAATGGAGTTTTGCAAACCCCCTTGGGTTCCTTGCAAGAGGAAGTAAGGTGCAATATAAATGCAGTGGAATAATAATAGTAAATTTAAACAGATCAGCGAAGTGGAAGGAGCTTAATCACCTAAGTCCGGGGCTCACCACTGGCACTGCACAGCAGGTATATTAGATCTCTTGATTGCTAATTAAGCTTACCGAGGTCCTATCTCATAGGCTGTTTCTTAACCACCTGCTGGTTTTGTAGGAGGCAGGTAGATTTCTCCGGCAACCTATTCACTCCTCCTTGATGGGTAGCATGAGAACTGTAGTCTATGCTGGTATTACAGGTAGTAACATTTCAGTATTAGTTAACGGGGGAACGAGGGAGGGAGTTAGCTATATGCTTTTTGTGTAATATGTGAGTTTTTAAATTCTTTTCTGTGGTATGTTGGGGTGCGCGTGTGTGTGTACAATTTAGGATGCGACGCGACGCAGGAGAAAGAAGCTACATGCAACATTTTATTTGGCCTTAGAACACCTTGAGCTAGCCCTGCATGACACCTTTAAAAAACGAATGCATGTTCCATAAAAAGATTTTTTTTGGGGGGGGGGCTTCCATGCCGCCGGGCTCCGACTTAGGGAGCTCCTCGTAGGCATCCTTGGAAGGACGGGCAACTTTGCAGTTCATTTCCAGTGGCAACATCCCGCCGAGCCAGAAGGTGCTTCTCCACGACGCCAAAGAAATTCGCAGGAGTTAGTTTTGCCGCTGAAGTCAATCGTGAGTGGGCAGGGCTTTCCCACAGCGGCACTGTCCCCCCGCCCCGCTTTTCCCGCCCTAAAATATTAAAATCCAGAACTTCTGTGATGTGCGCGCGGCCAGCCTGGGCGAGGAGACGGCGTAGGCGATCCCCCCAGACGCCTTGAGGTGGGTAGGTTGGTCTGCGTGCGAGGCCGAGCAGGAGGAGGAGACGAGCTGTCCGTCTTTTCCCGCCTCCCTCGCGGCTGGAGCTGCCTGGAAAGCCGGAGCCGGGCCTGGCCCTTTAAGGTACCTCCAGGCTGCCCGCCGCCCGGCCCTGAGCTGAGCGCAGCCAAGCGGGGCAGCTGCGGCGGCGGCAGCTGCCCTACCCTGCCCTGCCCTGTCGCGCCGCGGAGGGGAAGGCGCGGGCTCCAGCCCAGCCAAAGCCGGGGACTGGGCTGCTTGCAGAGAAGAGTAAGGGGCATCCGCCCGGGGGGAGCTGCGGAGTCGCCAAGGGCCTCTGGGCGGGCTGGGAGGAGGCGCGCCCGCTGCCCCAATTAGGGGGCGCTACGAAAAGGGCGGGGAGGTGGAGAGCAAGTCAGGAGTAAGGGGCAAAGCGAGGGGGAATGGCCGCGTCTGGAGAAGGAGGTGGAAGCGCGGAGTCAAGTCGGTGCTCCCGCCGGGGGGAGGGCGGGCCGGGAGTTTCTGCTTTAGGACACTGCGTGCACTGCGCCTCCCGTCCCGGGGCGAATGCTTCCTTCGCGCAGGGGTGGCCGACGGGCCCTCTGCTCCCTTTCTCTCTCCCCGCCGCGCACACGCTTGGCTTTCATCGTTGCTGGTCCGGGCTCACCGCGTGGCGACCGCCGTTCGCGCAATGCGCGCAGCGCGCTCCTCTTCGGCGGCCCCGATCCCGCGCGGCCCTGCTCCGCTTCAGCAAGGCGCGGGCCAGAGGTGGCGACCTGTTTTTGTCATGGGTCGCCTTGGTACTTCTGGCCGATGCTTTCCCCTTTCCCCCGGAGTTTTGTTTTGATTAAATTCCGGCATCCTCGGAAAGTTTCCTTCAATCAAAGTTACTAGACCAAAGACGTACTGAGTAGGGGGAAGGGGTTAGCCTGAAATTTGGGGGTTAACATGTAAGTGCAGCTTCCTTTAACACTTATTGGCTCTGACTTCAAGTATAACAGAGAAAATAGCTATTTCACTGCATTTCATGGATAAAGATAACTTCCAAGCAGCTTTCAGTGTCTTCTAAAATGTGTTTTCTGTGTATGGAGAAAACACATTTATGTGGTATATGGACTCATAAACTTGGATTCAGATGGCTTTAATGAATATATTTTCAGCAGTCTTTTCTGATAGTGATTTGTTGTGTGTTCCTAGGAGACTTGGCAGGGCTTTTATGTCTTTCAAGAGAGATGAGCAAGAAAGTAGCATTTAGAAGCAAATAGTATTATCTGTAGGTTTATCAAAACTCACTTTTGCAGGCAGCTGTTTGTTGAAGTTACCAGATCATAACATAAATTCTGAGATTTTCTTTAAATTTCAGAATGGTGGAAAAAGGAAGTGTTTAATGGGAAATGAAGTAACCTGTTGGTACCCTGTGAGGAAAAAAGTCTGCTGTGAAAAAGGCCAACTCTGTGTTAGGCAAGGATTTGAAAATAAAACTGAAGGTATCATAGTGGTATATGATACTTAGAATATTGTGTGTAGCTCTAGGTTCTGCACCTAATAAAGCATATTAGAGAGATGGGGGAAGTGCAGAAAAGGGCAAATAGATGATCAGCAGCTTGGAGCAACTTCCATATGAGGAAAGGTTAAAAGATCTGGAATAGTTTAGCTTAGAAAAAAGGCAACTAACGGGAGACAAGGCAGAGTTGTACAAAATTATGCATGTTGTAGGAGTGGATACATATTTTTTCTCCTTTTCCCATATACTGGAACCCAGAGTCCTTCTACGAAACTGATTGGTGGGTGATTCAGGACAGATAAATGGAAGTACTTCACAAAATGCATAGTTAAACTTCCACAGGATGACCACCAATTTGGTGGTCTTAAAAGAAAATTGATCGTATTCCTAGATAATGCTACTCGTCCTGATGGCTATATGCCTCTATATACATCTCTGTGGATGCTTGTTTGGTGCCCTATGCTGTGTTACTACTTCCATAAAGTGTCTGGAAGCCACTGATCAAGCTACCGTCCTGTGCTCCAAAAAAAATTGTCCTTGTCTGCTTGTAAACAGGATCACATGAATGGGAATTACAGAGCTAGGCATTTGTCATTCCAAGCCATCTTGGCCTGCTTCAAATTTGACTGTTTTTTGTCCAGTCAAAATTTGCCAGCCCCAGACCTGTGCTGAATCAGGTGGCAAATGGAATACATGATTTGTTCAAGGGAGGAACTAAGTCATATTTTTAATTTAGTGTTCTGTTGTTTCTAGACTGTCATTAGATAGCATAATTTAGTATGGTGTGTGCTTATACTCTGCCAAAAAAAGGGGATGCAGATCTGCACATGCTAATTTTATGTGTACATGTGCATTTAGAAATAATTGCTACATGACGTGTGCTTCATTCTGCTGCTTAGGTGCTCACTGCTGGGTATTTTTAAGGCCTCTACTTTCCCTTTTTTTCCTGGAACTTTAGTTCAGACCAAGTCTACCTTCAAATAGAGGGCTAACCTCTGATAGTCATTCAGATAGAGGACTTTTCTAAGTAATGTAGGACACTTGGCTTCCCTATGGTTTAAGGATCCAGACATTAGGAATTATGTGATTGGGTAAGGATATAACTGAATAAGAGCTAGAAGTAGACATGGACATTTTCAAATAACCTCAGTTTACAGAAGCATCGACTGTACTAATATAAATGCCACAGTATTCTGTTCATAACATGCTGTCCAGCCAGTTCTCTCTTCAGACTTGCTTGTAAACTAATGTATCTATACAGCCAGAATTGAAACAGATTAGGGTTATGTTAAAATGTGTTCTCATTTACTCAAATATCTAAGGGTAGTCTTTCGTATCAGCACCTCTTCTAGACCTTCCCCTTTTTGCTATTCTATAAAATATAAAATGTTTTACTTTGGATCACAGTGTGTTACTGCCATTTCCTTGATTAAACTAAAGCGATTACCTTGATTAGAATTCAGTGTGTCAAGTTTTACATAAGCTTGAAGTCTATAGAAAAGCAGTTTGCTAGCCTATGATTATACCAGAGCTCCTGTTTTTGCCACATAGGCTGTCTTTTGAATATAGAAAACCCACAGAAAGAAAACAAAAACAGCCTTAGAAGGATTATGTGGTGAACATGAAAACGACTTAACTTCTGCCTCAGCAAATGTGGGCTCTTCATACTGCTTTTCATTTCAGTGCTGTCTGAAAGTTCCAGAACTCTCCCACCTGCAAGAAAGATGAGGTTGTGGTACATCACGGTGCCAGTGCCAGTTCTGCTGCTGTTTTTCTGGATCCCTTCATCACTATCCTGCAACAAGGCTCTGTGTGCTAGTGACGTCAGCAAATGCCTAATACAGGTATGGGAGAATACACGCTTCTCTTTGCCGTAAATCACCAAGAAAATATTTCCAGCAGCTTGGCTGTTACGATATACATTTATATAAATAAATGGTAATTCTGAAATAAGTAAAATTAAAATGAAATTTGCATAGATATTCACATGGTAAACTGATTGGAAACTTCTATTTTGTCTCTACCTTTTTAAAAAATATGCAAAGCAGTATGTAATTAGTCACCATGGCATGTCGTGTTGTGTGAAGCCAGTCAGCATATAAACTGTAAATTAATCTACATAATAACTATTGAGCCAAACTAAGAGATGAATTAGCAGCTTTTGAGGATGCCTGTTTTTTTTTTAAACATTTTGGAGAGAGAACTGCACACTAGGGTGTGCTTATTGGGAAGCGAGGTTGAACACAGGATCTTTTGCCTACATCTCAACTTGTAAACAACAAGCTGAAATCTGTAGATCTGTGGAATAAAAGTAGGAAACTGGGTGTGATGGTCAAAATTCTTTAAATATATTGCTTAATTGAAAATTGAATCATGAAGATAGTGATGAGAGTATTGTTTTCCATCACATAACTGAGAAAAGAGAATAGTAATGTGTTAAATATAATATAAAGTTAGAGGATGTAGTCACTCTTGAGCATCTGATTTACTGCTGCTGGAATGTTTCATGGAGCTTGTTTTACTTCCACATAGGCTTTCATAATATTGACACTGTGACCAAAGTTGTTTTTTTTATATATATGCGCGCACACACACACACACTGCTCATTATTTACATACACTTGTGAGTGCATGTGCATGCCCACACACCCCTCTGTTGGAGAAATATTATTGTGGCTTGAAATTTCAATTCTGCAACATGCTTTATCTGTGCTACAGATGCATGTTGTCTTTTGAACCTGACAATTTTGGTTTTAGTTGGTTGTTGCACAATTACATTTCATAATGGAACAATGTGATGCTAGACAAAGACTCACAGAGAACTGAAATGCATGGATAATTGGATGTGTGGAAAGGCAAAGTGTAACCATGTAGGTGACCTAAGGCGAATAACTCTGAGAGATAGTTGTATGTCCTTTAAAAGAAAAGATAAAGGGAAAACTTCATGGGAAAGGATGAAATTCTCATGAAATCTAATTGTGTTCCATGTACTGGATACTGTTCCACATTTTATATATACAGAATCATAGAAAATGAATTCTTCTTACTAACACTTAAAATATGTTAAGCATTTTAAAACAGTACTCAGTTAAGAATTAGAATAGGGAATATGTGGAATTGAGTCCTGCCCTCCTGATCTAAAAAAGGATTGGAATGATGCTGAGCAAATACTGTCAGCTTGAGGGTAAGGGAGACAGACACCAGCTGTGTTCGCACAGAATGACAAGCCATGCTAGAAACTTGTCATTATGTATTAATTCAGCAAATATGGTGAAATGTGGTCTGTTTGATCCTTCATGGGGCTGTTCACACATAATGTGATGGAATACCATGAAGTTACCTTTCATACCTTGAGTCCTGTGTTCACACATTTGTGAGGTAACTTCTCAAGGTCATCTCCACACACCTCCATCTTTCCTCCAGCACATACCCCTTCAGCTCCCATGGTTGGGAGCCAATCCCAGTGCTGCTGCTCCTGCCTGAGTCAACAGCTCTCTCCCATTGTCCTGCACACTCTTCTGGGTGTGTTCCCAACCAGCCACTGCTTTTTATCCTCTGCTGCTCTGCAGAGCCCCTGTCTACTCATTAGAGTAGCATGGCCACCCCTGCAGTTACTGCTCCGTGTCTTCCCTCCTGGAACATGCCCTCTGATTTCCAGCTGGATTGCCCATATCTCACATTGCTTGACCATTTGCTCACCTACCTGCCACCTGGCCAGATTGCGAAGATACCTGTGCAGCCTTGTTTGTGCCTGGTGCAGCTTCGCATGCATGCAAGCGCACTGCACCGTCTTGCAGGAGGTTGCGCCGTCCCTAAAGGCATTTCTTTCCATGGATCTTCATACTGTGCTTTTCAGGGATACTATCAAACCGTTCATCTGTCAAACATTATTATAATAAATGCTATGCCTGCTTCTAGAGTGCTCAGGGTGTTAGTTTTTCTCTGTCCCTGCTCCCCTGTTAGCATTTCTGCATTTGGAACTATACTGGCAAATTGCCTTTAAAACTAGGACACTGATGGATCCTGAATTAAGGCTTCTTTTATGGCACTGAGAAATAAGAGTAAAAATGCCATGGCATGTTTGTTTTTCTTTTTACTATGTTTAGGGAGTGGTTCTAAAAATAGTGTTAAGACTTTCCATGTCACTTACACATGCGCGTGTGCGCACACACACACATATATATATATAGAGAGAGGGATCGCCTACTAAGTTTATGACAGAAAACATCAGTTCTGTCGCATTTGCAGACTCACTCTGGGAACTGAAAATAGAGCTCTGAGTTTTTTGTTATTTGTTCTTTATACACAAATTGTCATCAGTAAAAATGTTCTTCTGTCTGGTATTTAATTAAACATGATTACGAATGATGCATCATTAAGAATTACTGATAGAATGAGAAACTGATTTTTAAAAATACATACTTTTGTCAGTAAAAGAAACATAACTAGTTCATAAATGATACAGAGTTGCGCTGTTGCTTCTGAATATCCACAGTAAAGGAATGGTAGTAAGAAAGGACTATTGCTTGTGGTCTTCTATTAAGTATTTGGGTGTTCACTGTGGAAAATAGAACATTGAACTAGATAAACCTTTGGTCTGATCCAGAAGTGCAACCATTATGTATACAGTATAGAACCTTTTTTATGCTCCTACCAGCAATACTTGGTTGTAGGAGTAACTTTTTTTAAACAGTGGAATGTTGATAGAAAAGAGTGGTCACTGGATACCATGCTGTGCTGAGGTCCATTCTAAAATGTAATGAAATTCAAAAAGCTGATGTTGCACAAACTTTTATTAAATGGTATCTGTCAAATATAGCCAGGTTTTTTGTCTAGTCTGGACTGATTTTCAGCTTATTCACCCTCATCCAGCCTTATCATTGACCTGAGGTCTCATTCTACTACTTGATGGATTTGCTTAAAAAGAAGGTATAGAGCTGGGTGTCATAAACATGTTGATGCTGCTTTACTGTACATGCTCACATAGCGTCTTCCAGTTGATTCTTAGAATTTTAGAAAACAGTGCAGTACCTGCAGTTCTTACTTGGCAAATGAAGAAGAAACACATGGTCACTGATACTGAAGCAGTTGAAAATGCTAGTAGAATAAACAGTGGGTCTTCAAGCATTCAGGTGAATGAACATAAATAAATTCACTGGACTGGACTGTATCTTATATATAAACATAATCCTGAAATATCTCTTTTTTGAAGAAGAGGAATATCTGCCAGGACCAAAGCACTTTTTGGTAGGTCCTTGTTTTCATCCTGGTTCTTGACTTAGATTCTCAGTTTTTCAATGAGCTAATCAATGGAATACCAGATCTTTAAAAAGATCAGCTAAGACAACTGGACAATCTGTAAAGAGACAATGAGGTTGTATGTCATCTTTAAACTTTTAAAATCATTTTAGACCCGAATTATATTTCTGATTAACCCATGTGTCTTTAGGTTAATCAGAACATCTCTATACTGGGGAAAGATGCAATACAAGAAGAAATTAAGATGCACAATAAGATTAATGTCTCTCCAAAGAGTGTAAAACCATGTGTGCATAGTACCAGTGTGCTTTTAATTCAAAAACATTAAAACTTTGGAACTTAGCCATGATAAACTTGTCCCATTGATTTCCATAGGACAGGTGTGACTAATTTGCTGTAAATTGAAACTATTATTACATGTATAAAGGTAGTAAGGCTCTGAAGACAGGAAGAACTTGGAAGAGATCAACCAAAATGTATTGCTCCAAAAACCTCTTTTCTATTCACTTAGAAGAGATTACATGAATTGTTCTGCATTTACAGAACACAGAAGGGTAAGCCACATAAATATTTATTTTATCAGCTCTGTAACAGATGTGAATGAGATCAACAATTTCTTGTCTTGAGACTTGCTTGTATTAATTTCCTGTTAGTCATTCCTTCTTTCATGAGAGCTTTGCCTTTCATAAAGTTCTTGGCAATCTGCGTATTAACCATTGGAGAGTTTGTGTGTTTTGCAAGGAGAAAAACTACAGCTGTAAAATACTTCTATATTTTTATACTGCTCCGTAACCATAGCTCTCTGGGTGGTTCACAACAGCAGAAAAAAATACAATGAAATGCAAAATAACAAATATTGTAGTACAAAATTTAAAAACCAAAGTTAAAAAGCTATAATAGCTTACATAAATTAATTTACATGCAGTTGAGATAATGCCTCAATAAATGAGACTATTAAAAGCCTCATCATAGCGGACAGTCTTATGTTGGCAGCAAAAATGTATCTAAACTTGCAGCAAGCATGTCTTAGTGGGAGCTTGTTCCATAACTGATCATAGAGGGGTATCACCTTTTTAGAAAGGACAGGAAGGGAAAGAGGGGTGGGGGTGTGGCTTTATGCATCAGGGAAGCGATAGGATGCAGTGAGATAGAATGCAGCACAGATGGGGATTTGGTAGAGGCAGTGTGGGTGAAACTTAGGGGTTTTGACAGGGAAAGAGACCTGACAGTGGGGGTATGTTATCACCCTCCAGGTCAACTTGAGACCCTGGATGATGGCCTGACAGACCAGATTCTAAGGATATCTCGGGGGAGAGACACAGTGATTATGGGAGATTTCAGTGTCCTGGATATTACTTGGGAGACTCACTCGGCGGTGACAGCCAGGTCACGTCACTTCCTAGAAACTGTAGAGGGAGGGTTTTTCACACAGAGGGTCCGAGAGGCGACGGGGGGGGGGACATCCTTGACTTGGTCTTGACCAATAGAGAGGAGCTGATAGATGAAGTACAGATTAGGGGAGCTCTGGATGCAAGTGATCACTCCATCCTTGCTTTGAGATCAGGGGACTGGGAACGTGCAGCAG